AGCATAGTCGGTATAATCTCTAGAGCACATTGTCAGAAGTTTTTAATGAAAAGTCTGCCAAAGAAAAAGCCAAACATTAGTTGAATTGAATTGATTAGTTTTTGGCCACTGGGGGGCAGCGCAACAAGCTGTAAACATAACATTGACCAATTATCATATTATAAAGGTGATATAGAAAAACTCAAACAGTTGCTTATTTACACATCCAACAGATACGGAGAAGCATTAGCATTCACTCTGAGTCTGTCTCTGGCCAGGAAAACTGCAGAAAAGTAAGACTCTGAGAAAAGGAAATTAGCATTTAGTCTTCCAGTCTGTAAACAATCAAGCTTAAATATGATGAACAAGAGGTACAAACCTTTACTTCGGGATGGTAGAAATTCTCCTAGAACACAGAAAGGGAAATGGAAATCAGCAACTGATCAAAACAAAACTAGATTTTACTGGAACAGGAAGATTACTGTTGTACATTTTGTACATTGTCAGTTTTAGTATAAGTTTAATAGCTTAGTGAAAGCAGTTAGTGACAGACAAGCCTCTTATGAGAAAGGTTATTAGGTCAGCAGACATACAAACAAACAAAAACACATACCTCTGACTATTGCTAGTATAGGGATTTATGGTCGTTTCCTCCGTTACTGTTACACGAGTGAGGGACACAATTCATTTTATCCAACTAGAGTTAATCTACACATTCATGTAAGAAGTGACCATAAAATACCTTTTGTTTTCTTAATCTTCACCTCCACTTCCTCCTTCTCCTCCTCCTCCTCCTCCTCCTCCAACCATCTTGAATCTTTGAGATCGTTCATAGATCGTGTCAGCTTGAAACTTTCACCATAATAACAATCAAGTCTTTGGCAATGTTGTCACCTAGATCCATGTTTGTCTTCCTACAGTCCCCCAGCCACATTTTATGCATTTCTGGGAGCTTTTAACAAAACAACACAGTCACTGAACTATATTCTAAGAAGCTAGAGGATTATTGCAGTGGCATCAATATCCATCTTAATAATTGCTTCAGTTTATAATGTTTGCCTTATAAGGTCAAGTGAGGACAAATTGCAGTACATGTGCAGTTCAGTGTAATGAATGGAATTTAAGCCATTATGAGCTATTTTTTTGTTCATTTCATAGTTGTTAATCAAAGCCTAATCATCGTACACAGGTACACTTAATATAAAACAGACTTTAACTGTTGCAAATACATTTCTGTGTACCAAAAATTACATAAAGAACAGCACATGTAATGCAGTGCAACATGAACAAGACACTCATAGCAGCGAGCGAGGCTTTTTTATCTCTTAATCTGCAATTGCAGCAAGAAATACATCAAAAATTGCATCAATACAAACCTTTTTTTCTCACTGCGTATAGATTTCCTGGAGAAGAGGAGAGGATATCAGTAAATGTAATATCATAATTTCATCAGATAAACTGTGATCCAGTGGTGGAGGACAAATAAAATAAAAAATAATCAGTTCGAATTAAAAGTCCTGCACCACCAACTATAAATTAAGTTAAAGGATACCTAATAAGGAAAAGGTAACTGTTAAAATAATCATGATGACTGACAATGACTATACCTTCATCTTCGTCAGGAGCAATCAGGTTGGCAGCAAATTTTAATATTACACTGATCACGTTTGTCGATTCCTCCACAACATTGTTCACCGCCTTCAGGGGGTCTGAGCCGATCTTGCTGAGGCCTCCTGGTGGAGCAGGGACACGAACACAGCAGTTGATTTAGTCTCTCATATAGTTTGATTGGAGTTGTTTTCCTGGCCAAATGTTAAGTAAGAGTTCCTGAACTCTTACTCATACATTTTCTTAATGCAAACAAAGCTCTCATTCAATGCAAAGAGAAAATGTCCCAAAACATAAATCATAGAGCGAAGGGTTAAAGTGGGGTGGGGCCACTGGAGCTGATCCAAAAAGATATAGTCTGGATTTCAGGAATTGATCAATATTCTTTTAGGAGCAGGGATCCCACACCATCCAGTTTAACCACTGCAAAAGGCTTTCTGTATAGCACATGGTTGTGCAAAAAGCATTGGAAAAATCACATTGACCCTCTTTCATCAAGCTATTATTAAAGAGATCTAATCTGCTTTTAAACATATCAGAATACACTTTTTTTTCATCACATTTTAGTTTTAATGTGTTATAGTCAACATGTTTTGGGTTTTTTTGCTTAAAAGTAAAGCAAACAGAGTCTCCCAGGGCTGGAATATAAACTGGTTTCCAAGACAGTTTGATGAAGGAGGAGCGGACTTCCCAGAGCAAACACTTCATTTGGAATCAGCACATTTAAATCTAAAGATCCAAACAAGTTGGAAGAAAAATGAATATTTGTTGCGTTTTTTTGTCCTTATTCAGATATGAGTTAATGCACAATATCTTTGTATTCAATAGATTGTTAATTTGCATATTGTTTACATATTTAACAATTTTAAGAGCCCTGAATGTAACCAGATCTATGCAAAAGGAAAACAGGCTAAATAAAAAGAATAATATAGAAAAAGGAAAACAATAGACAGAAACATATAGCAGTTAAATGCATTTTTAAGGCAGAGATTTCAGATGAGATTGATTTATTTTATCTTCACTTTGTTAAATCAAGCTCACCTGAAAAAATATTCAAAATGTTTTATATTTTCAAAATACATTTCAACCTTTTTTTCTTCTCAGACAATATTGGGGACGTGAAAATACGGGATACACATGCTGAAGAATTTATACAGAAATATCTCTTCTACACAAGCTAAGCTACAAACTACCCATACCATCGTGTCACTGTTTATCTGAATGGAATTCTGTCAATGTCAAGCATGATGGCAGCAGCAGAAATAAAGCAGCTTGAACTGTTCTCTACAGGCATTTCTAACATTGATAGCTAATATTAGCAGTCAATGTTAGATAATTAGTAGGTTTTATCAGCGACTTTAGAAAAAGCTTCTGGTCTGAGGGGTTAGTAGCAGATAAAGTGCCTTGCCTCTACGGCCTGATTCCTTTAAAACCTTCCTGACGACAGGAGGTGGACGACCTGGTTGGATGAGAAACACAGTGGCAATAAGCAAAGACATTGAGCATTGTGGTAAAGCACAAAGAGGAAAAAGGGAAGTAAAGGAGGGAAGGTGCTGTTAAATGTCTGTGGCATGATGATAAACAGGTGTAACAGGCAGACTACTGCCTGTCCTTGGTTAGAAAATATAATTTTAAACAAAACAAACAACAAAAGAGAAGTTGATATTTAATATCAATGCACATATTGATTTGTGCTTATATTCTTTTGTCTTTTGCTTCAAGATGAAATTGTGAAAATGAAAGATATTTAATTAGAAGTATTGTACACTAGGGAAAACGTATGCACTTCTATATGTTTTGCTAGGTTATTTTAGGTTCTTGCAGTTTCTTCAAAATCAAGTGTAATAAGTTAGGAAATGGAGCAATACAGGAAGATGTTTGTGTTAGGGTTAGAGAATTGAGTAGAGTTAAACACAACAGAAATTAATGAAGTTTTGGAAGCATTGTTTGTTTTAATGTTGTGAGGAGATTTGGAACCAATGCTTGCAACTTAGTTATGTCACTGTTAGAGAGAAACATATGAAGAAGTCAAATTAGTACAATTTATACCAGGATAGTTCAATGTGCTGTACAAAATCAGAAAGAAAGATACAAAATACAAAAACTATATATGTATACAGTATATATATATAAAGAATGAATAGTAAAACATTAAACTAATTGTACTAAACTTAATTTGTTGGTGTATTAAAACTACATTCATTCTAACACAGGCGTCCTACATGTACCACTTTGTAGACTATGTAAACTGAGTTTCCGCTAATAGCATAACAAAAAAGATCTGTCCAGCCTGTTGGCCACTTAAAAGCCTACTTAAATGACAACTGTACAGGCAAAATAGAAAGTAGCAAGTGCTTTACAGACTCTCATGCTACACACAAGCTGCCCGACTACATTGGTGAAGGTTGCTGGGGCTGTATGCAGCCTGAAAGGAATACCTGCAGACACTAGACTGCACACTACACTGACAACTTCGAGTTTCAGATAATATTTTTATTGTTAATATTATTCTGAAAAGATGCTAGAATTTAACTGTCAAAGACCAGAGAAAGGATCTGTGGAGGTGGGTGTGGTTTGCACTCTGCTGCAGGAGAGAGAGGTGTGGGGAAGGCTTGTGAGAGCAGTGCGAGGTGAGTTAATTGTCTCAGCTGGTACTCATGAACTAATCACTCTCACCTCTTTTAAGGCAGTAGTATGCTGGACCTTGAGGCCCAACACACGTCAGAGAAGACACAACAGGAGCAGACCTGAATGGACTTTAGGAAGTAGGCTAAATGGTGTGATAATTGTGTGTGTGGCAGAGAAAACAATTAAGTCGTCTTGTTCATAAATCCCTGAGGTTGGTCTGTGTGCTGGGAGAACTCTCGTAGTAGCCAGCCTTGCTACAGGATCTTTATAATAAACATGGAAATGCAACTATATTTATCATAAAGTAGTAGGTATCTTTAAAGGAACTTTATAATATTCAAATAATGATAAGTTTCATGCTTTAACAAAACAGGGGTTTACATAGCATCTTTTTTTTCTGTTGTACTATCATTATGGAAACCTAATTTGTCATTTATATAGAATTCAAAGCCTTTAGAATAACCTGTACTCAGAAAACCTATTGCTTTAATAACTTGCACTTTGCAGTAGAAAACAGAACTACTTAAAATTTCTCAACACACTTGTATCTGACACTGAGAAACTGGTGACAATGGGCAGAATTGCAGATAAACAGCAAACACGTCTCTCCTTACCTGAAACTGTCTTGTAGTCCATCAAATCAAACATGATGACAAAAACACAAGACCATGTAATGACGAGAGCCAGAACCAAGATCCAGGCCAGTGGAGAACTGAAGGTAGAGTGGAGGTCATCTGTAAAAGTTTTCTTGGACCCTCGCACAGACAGTGACCCGGCGTCTCCGTTCTTACCTTCGATGACCATTGTGGTGGTCGTCGATCGCGCTGAGGAGCAAAGACACTGAGATCAGATACAGTGCGTGAAATATTTGAACAGTAGAACAGTTTTTAATGCTGTCTGTCTCTGTCAGCAGGATTATGGAAAACCTAATGTCCCGCTACTCATGAAACTTGTAACGGTGTAGCATTGGCCAAGGAAGAACCCATTTAATTTTGGAGCAGATCCAGATCACATTTTTTACTTTCCTTAACATTGTGAGATAGGTCAGATGTAATACAGATTCAATATAATCCACAGACCTTGTGGTGAGCAGGGTGATGTAGGATTTTCTTTCTATAAAACTACACTGACAAGCTGGACGTTAGCTACAGAGTGGGAAACTAACTTTTTAAATGTTGAATATCTATATAAATGACAGATAAATGTTCAGATTAATCAACAACTCAATAGTGAATCATCATTTTGAGTCTCAATTCTAATCTAGCAGCCACTTTTGTCTGGTGGCTGGTGCTAATTTCCCACCCTGGTTAGTTATCTCAGTGGCACTTGGGGAGCTAGCTAATGTTACAGCTCAGCCGAGGAGGATGCCATTAATGTGTACATCCTGTCTCATTCATTAGTACATGCACGCTTCCTACTGCGCTATGCAGAAAGAAAATAGTACCTACATAAAAAGCTCAGAACAATGTCTGTGGATTATATTAAGTAACTGGGTCATGATTTCAGAAAAGAAAGTTTTTCAAACGTATTTTTTCTGCACTTTTTCTGCACCACCAGCTGAGTGCCATCTGGTTCCATAATATTAAAAAGAAGGCAGACATCTCTACGGACGATATCTCCAAAAGTCAGCATCTTACAGCAAAATGATCTAGATGGATAAATAACACTACAGGTACGAGTAAACATATGGATTTGGGATTTTGGGGTGAACCTTCCCTTTAACATTAGTATTAGTAATGATAGAAGTTGTAGTAGCAGCAGTAGAGGTAGTAACTGTATGGAAAGATCATGGTTGTAAGTTGGCAGTTTATTAACTCCACGCAGCTAAAATTAATGGAGACTGGGCAAACAGTATAAATCCTATTTTCATGAAGGCTATAATGTTCAATGTTTAACTGAATCTTTCATTTTTATGGTGAGTTTTAAAGCAGCTGTGCTGTAAACTTGTGGTTTCCTAATAGCTGTTATTTTGTTCACTAGATCCATATTAATAAGGGTAGGCTAAATATTATCAACCTCTGCATAATACAGTCCAACAGCACCACAAACTATAACCTCCAAAAGTAAAGATGGAGAGTGTATTTGTCATTTTTGTGAAAAAAAATTGTTTGACAACTTGTCATGTTGAGATCACCTAAAAAAAAAATCGCAATAATCAGATTTGACTGATTACATGATTTTTCTTACTAGCATAAGGAACACTGTTACTAATTTGACTGCTACAGTATTCATTTTCACTTCATAATTGCCTCCAGTAAAAGTCTTACATGCCCACTCCAGTTTTCACCTTTAATTGGGTGTCTGTTTGGCTCACTGCGTGGAGGTTGTCTTGCGATACCAGATGATAGGATATCTCAACGCCTACCAATAGTCTGGAGATTTCTAAATGCAAAGTAGTTGCTTGAACTGTGGCGAGAAAGGCTGCTAACAAACGTACTCCCCTTACTCCATGAACAAATGCCCTCTTCCCATTGTCTTCCATAATGAAACAATCTGAAGATAACCACTTTGTCACATGGAGAGAACTTTTTAAGTCATAGAAAATGAATGTCCTGAGGAGCGTTACATAGTGCGACAGTGTTTACAAGCACACAACTTCTGCATTTCAACACCATGTCACCACCTTAAAGACTTTTTCTTGGTTCTGCAATGCAGGTTTCTTTATAAATTAATTCTTTCCACCAAGTTTTAGCAACAAAAGCTGAGAGAAAGTCTTCAGTCTCTACTAAAGGAAGCACTTAGTCTAGCGTGGGGAAAGAGAGTTTGTTGCTCAAAATGAATATCCAAAGTATGAAATACTACAGAGTAAAGTTTGATATCTTTCTTGTTTAACCTAACCAGCCTTGTGTTTTGATTAAGCAAACAAATTAACAGAACTTTCTCAGTACATACAAACATTTTCAGTATGTGTAGGCTACATTTCCTTTCTAAAACGTATTTCAAGCTACATTTTATTTCAGCTTTTTAAGGGGAGAAAGGGTTTACCTGAACCTTGTTTCTTAACAGACTCTCTATGCTGACCCAGTCTTGCATAGTCTTGTTATTATAGCCACTTTACTAATTAGGAACCAGTGCAATTTCTGCTGTGGTTTCATTTGCTTTAAATTAGAGTTATATGGTTATATTTAGGATTAAAAATAAGTAGGTTACAGTGCCTGCAAACACTGCTTTTCAATACTGCATCATTCTAGATTATTTTTCAGTGACATATAAAATAATGGATTTGTTTTGTCACATATAGACTCAGTACAGTGTAGTTACTAATGTCCCTGTGGCTGTGTCGGAAAAGCTCAGGCCACCTGTTGACTCTCTTCAGCTCACTGCTGGCAGCTACTGTAGGTTACTCCATTACTGCTGACTCCAACAGCTTAGCAGCACTCTAAACACACACAGACACACACACCCCTCTGTCTAACGTCATTACAGGTCACTTCAACATGAGTGAGTGAGCACATACGAAACCTCCCAGTGGCTACTGTAGGTACGATAGCTGCTATTGGTATGAGAAAGTGTGACTAAATGTCCGGAGAAATGGGTAATGGTTGGGTTATTTTCGAAATTTAAGAATGCCAAATACCCTCCTCAAACACAGCACCAACACCACAAGTGTGGCCTAATGATACTAATGTCAGTCTTTCCGCGCGTCCAGAAGAAGATATTTTAAAAATACTGACCACACTGCAATTACATTTGGTATAGATACTCCTGCTCCACAGACGATGATCCCAGAGGATTTTGTATCACTGTGAGATTTTCACCTTGACAACGGTCAATGTCAACTAATTGCTAAATTAAGGCATCATAGTTCTCTTTAAAAAAAATTTACAAGAATGTTTAAAATGGAGGATAAGGAGTTGCTGTAAAACATTCACTGATCATTTTAAATGTAATCAGAATAAAAGTTAATGAGTTACTTAAATTAAACTTTAAAAATAAAATCTTAAGCAGGTGGTATAATATCTACAGACATAATCTTATTTGACCTACAAAGCATGTCAGTGTTAACGAATAATCAAACAAACAATAATGTAGAAAAAGTTTGGAAATTACAATCAAATTACTTTCAACCCGTATTAATTAAGGCTACAACTTAACATTTCACTTCTAGTACAAGACATCAGTCTGTGACTCAAACTGATTGAAGGCTTTCTACTCTAGGTATTCACTGAGATCTTTCTGCATACATCCTGCTACACTGGGAGCTGCCCAGTACACACACAACCAGTCACAGTGGAGAGTAATAGTTCACACAGTATTTGTTGTTGAGAGTTTTGCTTCCTCTACCAGGCTTTTATGGATAGATTTAAACCACATTCAGCCATCTTGTATATGTGTAACTTTTTTCTCACCTCTGGTGTTATTACTGCTGCTTCTTTTTATGAAACCTGCTTAATCCATGTTTCTACACTCAAGTTCATGATAACCGGCATCAGCCATCAGACTAAAACCTTTGGTATGGAAAGCTCCAGTCCTTAAGATTCAGAGGCTTTTGTGGTCTTTAATGTAGATCTACAGTCAAATGATTGCTCTGTGGCCATCTTGTTAAATATCAACTTGTGGTTTTGTGGTTCCTGGTTTTGTCATGTTGGGCAGCACTATAATTGAATTGAATTGAATTGAATTGAAAATTATGGCTAAATCCATTCCACAACTGCTTATTTAATCATACAGCAACAAATCACTGAAACCTTAAAACCATGGGGGTTTCGACTGACCCTATGACCTTTCCTCAGCTACAAGAAATATCAAAAACTAAATGGCCAGAATTTACTAATTTTCATTTTAGTCACTTTGAGAGCTTCTTCTCCAGCAAAACCTTCAGATCAGATGTCAAAGGTACACATCCAGTAAGTACTTTTTGCACATTACTACTGAGCATCAAAACATTAATAACTTGTAATTTTGACTTTAAAGCCTCTTTTGACCACCACTTTTTCAACCCAGCTCTAAATGGTTTGACCAGCCATCCATGCACAATTCCTCCTTTTATGGCTGACCTGTCTCCACACTGTGGACGACATTTCTGTTGTTACTCTCACTGGGTATCCATGACAGCTCAGCTCAGTGCAGTCATTAGAAGCGAATGGTTGCCTTTTCAGTCAGAATACAGGGAAGTGTAGTCATAACATTTCCTTAATGAGTGCGCAGAGCTGAACGGAAGTGCAGCAGAGACCTTTTTACGATCCAGCTGGTTGAGCATGGTGGTGCTATTAATCAGGTTTGGAGCTGGATTTGAGCTACTGTTTCCATGTCTCCAGCTAGCATGAGTGTTGTGCATGTTTGTGTCGACACTGCAGACTGTGCACCTAAACAGTTTAGGAATCAGTAATGAGTGTGAGGAAATGGATTACAGGTCATCATAAATACAAAGTGCAGACATCACATCCTTAATATTAGGATAGAGTATATCTATCCCTTGTCTATCTTTCTGATTGTTTTCATATTTCCAGAACAAACTTTGTAATCAACCCTTACTGACCTCCCATGACCTCCCATGAGTACTCTTAAACACACAAAAACAGCATGAGAAACTGTATATCAATTTGCTGTTGAAATAAATACTTTTAGATTGAAATGTAAGAAGCATTAATGTATCAATGAATCAAGCTAGAACTTACAGTTTTGCACAACATTGTATTATTCAGAGATTTCTTGCAAAGGAAGCCAAGGGCAATTCGCTAGTAAAAAATCTCAACGTTATCATGAGATAACAAATTAATCTTGAGATCTCAAAATATCTGATTTTGTGATCTGTAACTTAACTGATAGTACTTTATAACCTCTAGACACCAAACGGTTATCACATTTCTATGTTTTATGCACAACATTCTGAGATAAATATTCATTAATGTTGTTATCTCTAATAGATTAATGGGCTTTCATACTTTTAAAGTCTGTCCAAGTCAGTTCTCATGGCCATGTGTGAGGGAGGAGACATCCTAGAGGAAAAACATCAACAGTTAAAGAGCATAAAGTTGGTAGGACTATTATCACCATTGGTTGTCTTGTAATAAGGAGATAATTAAGAGGTAACCATGAGACCATAAGTGGATATCCTGCCATGATTAGATAAATGCATCTTATTTTGGAAAACTTTTTTTGGAAGGTCATTCTTGAGCTTGGCAACAGTTGTTTCGAGCTTGACAAAATAATCTCACAGTTGGAGTTTGTACAGTTGTCATGGCGTTCTCAGTTGTCATCTCCAAACTACATCCACTGATGAAGCCCTTAAGATGTGTTTGAAAGCTCCAGAAAAGCTCAATATAGTAAAACATAACTTTTAATCTTATGAAAATACAGGTATTACATGTACGTGATCACAAAACTGTCTTAGCTTGAGGACAATCATCTTGTTATCCTAATTAAGGTGTAATTAAGTTATGGTTGATTAGCTCTTTGTCAGGTCAAAGGTGGGCAATGATGAGATCACAAACTTAAATATATTTTTTGGGACATAAAGCTTTTTCCAACTGCGACGTGTCTAAATGTCTTCTGTTAAAAACAAGCCCTATCATAAAGGTGTAAATTGTCTAACAAGTGCAGAGTTGTGGGGCTGTCAGTAAAGTAGGGCCTGCACATGCCCACTCCTGTGTGTGTGTGTGTGTGTGTGTGTCATGGGTGTGTAATTAAGCTGTGATCTTCCTGAGATCTCTAGATAACAAGCTTTAATAGCAACAGCAGCTGCTTTCTTTCAGACCCTCCTGTTTGTTCCATCTCATTATCCATGCACAGAGGAAACACCGTATAGCAACAGTATCAGTTGATGTGGTTACATTCAACAAGATGCACAGTGTTGATGCTGACTGATCCTATACAGCACTGTAGTCGTCATAGGGGTTCTAAAGCTGCATTGCAAATAGCCGATACATGATAGCGCCATATTTTTAGATACTTCTAATCATGAAATTCCCCTACACACCAGCACAACATCAGAGGGACTGTGTGCAAAACAAAACATACAGAACCCTGCAAGAGCTTCATACATTATGAAATCAGGTCGAAATTGACTAGCTTTAATTAATGTGATGATACTTTACCTTCAACTGCTTCAGTCATAGTTAGAAAATAAAAGTTCTATTCCGACAGTAAATCCCTTGTGCAGATTATGTTGCCATGAAGGCAAATATTTACGGTAGATCCTCAACTCCTCCGCGCGATTAAATCCCAGTGTTTAATTCCAATGTAGCAACGTCACGTGAATGGCTGGTGCTGAAGATATGTCAAAAACCTAAACCCTCTGGCCACCAATGGTAATGCTACACCTCTTTTTCCGTTCTCATTACTTAAATCTGCATTTTCTCCTTTCCTGTTCCCGAAGTCAAAAACTTTTCAAGGGTCCAGATGATTGCGGGGTGGTCCAGAGAGCTGACTTCCGTTCCAGTGGATGAGGCTGGGGGAGATAGACAGAGACCAAATTGAGGTGGTTACTGTCTTTGCCCTTTGCCTGCTTGGGGCTAGGGTTGTAGATAGAGCAGCCTGCCCCCCCCCCCCCCCTTCTACAGCTCTGACAGAATTAGATCAACCATGGGGACTGGCGCACGATGGAAGGGAAAGAGGGAAGAGAGAGTTTCAAGGTAACTTTATCCTACCAGCCAATGTTGCTGCTGGAGTCACATGATTACAGTGTGGACATTGACTTCATACTTCTAAAAAAACTGTTAGATCTAAATCAAAATCTATGAATTAATCTTTATTTGTTCAAAACTTAGAAATAGAATAAATCCCTGAATCTAATTAGGTACTGTTACATTCATGCCATGTTTCTCAGCCTCGGGCCCTGAGTTATTCTTAGAGCAGCTCCCTGCCGCTGGTATTCTGCTTCGCCTTTTTAGGCCAGAGGCGTGACCTTAACACCCCAGCCCCCCCTTCGTGTTAACTAATCCCCCTCCACCAGACCTCCACTGCTCAGTACAGAGCTGTCATCAAGTGGAGAGAGGGAGGGAAGATCAGAATGGCTGGTGTGTAGGCAATATACTCCAGGTTGAATCAAATGTACAGTGTTGTCGTGGCACTGCAAGTAAACAACAGGACTCCAGGCCTCAAACCAACTATAGGTCATACAACATGCCATCCAACCTCGTCTAAAGGCAGAAGTGTACTTGTTGTGAATGGCCACACTTGAAACTAGAGCATAAAACCTGCCATCATAGTCTTTATTGTTTAATTGGGATTAACAGCACACTCTTGTGAACAGTGTCTAGTCGAAAGGCATTTATTGTGTTGTACACTTGCACAGCTACTAGCTAGCATGCTTCACTTGTAGTTTATTTGACTCCATTCACTATCCCTTCAATCCTGACTGGACTCTGTCATATGTATATACCATGATCGTGCCACCACTGTTCTCCACTTTAGGGGTGCTATTGGCCTGGTGATGAGCTGGACCTTAAAGTTAAACTTTTGTACATTCAAATCCAAAAGTTTGAGAGCTAAAATGGAAACTGAAACTTATGAATCTTAATTTTTTACTTGACCTTTTTTTTTTATAAGAATCTGTCATATTTGTTTGTTTTTTGTTCAAATTAACAGAGACAAGCTATCACTTCATAATCACTTTTATTCATTATTTATGAAGGAAAACAATAAGCACAAAGCAGATGTCACTACTCTACTACACACACATTTAAACATGTACATGCCACAGAACCTGCATCTCTAAAGCACAATTACTGGGGTTGGGAAGTAACTTTTGTTGTAACTCTTTACATTCTCACAATGTGTTCAGTCTATCTTAAAACAATACTGACATGCCCATTGTACATTGCAAGGGTTACTGGGGGGTTTTTGGTAACAATATCCATCTTTGTGTTATGTACATCCCTCCATGCAGCTCAACAAGGAAACACTGTGCATAGTAACATAAAGAGATAAACTGTAAAAGAATGGATTTTGTTGCCCATCAATCACAGTAATCTCTTTAGAAATGAATTTATTTGGGGCAAGTACAGACAGGACTTTTTCATTGTACATTCGATCATATCATTACTGTATTAAGATTCGCTTGAAAATAATATGAAACTATCCTTGAGTGAGTTTGTTGGAATTAAATTATTTTTTTACTTTTTCTGTTTCTTTTTTCATCTTTTTCACATCCAGCCTCTTGCTGAAGGCCTGTATCTGCAAATCTGTTATTCTTCCTCCATTTCCCCTGTATTGTGCTACAGTTATAATATTAATATTAATGATCAAACCTTCACAACTATTCTACAATAATAACAATAATCATCCCTTTATTACACTTGCTTCAGATGGTTACACATGCATAACCAAGCGTTTTTGTGGTAATATTGTAAACTTCCATGGTATTTTGTCATGCTGTTGTGTTCTCACACATCTTCTTATTTATTTTTCTCTTCAAAAGCAATGACCGTGCCAATGATCACCATCTGACCACAATACCAGGAGCTACAAAAGCAATCAGCCTCCAATTGTTCCAGAATCCTAAAATAAAGAAGAACAGAGTAATGAGTCATATTACAACCTTAAAATGATTAGGCTCACATATCAGATTAATAATTACATAAATATTCCTTAATGAAAAGATGATAGAATATTCAAGGTTTCTTTACAATGTGAGTTTTATTTTCCAACTTTTCGCCATTAGTCCTGTCCTATTTATTTTTTAAACCTGGTTTACACAGCACACTATTTTGGTCCATCATTCCTACTTGCTCAGTTGTTGATGGGTAAGTATCTGCAGTGCAGCTTCAAGCCTGTTGTCATGCTTTGTGTTACTGTCCCTCACCTGACTCTCATCGAGAGAATACGAATTGGAGGTTTTGTTTTAAAAAGACTTTTCAAAAAGTCCCATTAAGAAGGTATCACTTAACAGCTGGTACAGACAGACCAACAACTATTTAAATATTTTTCGTGAGTTTCACAGCCAGCAGTTTCACCTCCACACACAAACACACTTGGTTGCAATCTGCAACTTC